TTATTGTGTTAATGTTTAAAGACCTTATCTTTTAGGGATTTTATTTATTATAAAATTAAAAACTACAATAAAAATACATAGATTATACTTTTTTTAGAATGCAATTAAAATAAATTCTTTGACGCTCAAATAATAAGAAAATAATGTTTAATTTACCTATTTAAAAATATAAAATTAGAAAATTAAGAGAGACCTATCAGTCTTATTTGAAGTGCGGAGTTCAACTTAAACACTAACAGACAAATCAGGTACGATGTGATCAGAGAGTCTTATAATGATTCAGAAATTATTAGAAATAACTCTTATACCTTGCCTCATTAAGACACAAGTGTCATAACCCACGCAGGCATTACAGATCACGTTTTTGTATCACGTATCGATATAAAACCGTCTCAGATACTGTTTTTTTTTCAAAACCCTAAGACTGTATGATGTTTTGTAACTCAAGAAAGGGGGACACAATAGAGCTATAAAATCGCCGTGATTAACTTCCCCCTTCCCATACAATCTACAATCACATATCGAGCAGTCCGTGTGCGCATATTAAGACGCAGCACAAAGCAGGCTACTGCGCGATACTTCGTGTTCGTGCGTGACTTTTATTGCGAAAAGTGCAGTACGAAATTATAGAGGCTGTCGAAATTTTAATACTGGTTTTGTTGCACATTCATTTAATTCAATTTGTATTTAATCATACATATACAGGGTGCTACAAATTCGAGGTACGAGCATTGGTATCTCGGAAACCGTAAGAGATACGAAGATGGTTAAATTGGGGCACAGTTGCGCTTTAGGATGTTCACCAAGATGCCATCAAAAAAGTTTTAAAAATTTCAAGGATTGCTGAGTTTTTTTGGAAAAACGGATTTTTTTGAAAATCAATTTTATTTTTTCCCGGCGTTACTTTTTAGAAAATCAAAAAACTAATTGCACATTCTCATGGCTACCTTATTAGGGCTATCTGATAGTATTTTTATAATTTCAAATTAGCTGATAATTTGTGAGATACAGAGGCCAACTTAATTTTTTTAAATACGACCTGCATTTTTTATTCCAAGTTTTGAAAGAACTCGGTCTCCTGAGTACAATGATATGCCGCACTTGATACTTTTTTTTTGTTTTAGGTACCTTAAGAATAACAAAACTATTTAATTATTATTTAAAATAATTTCAAGTCCGACTCTGGTTTTTTTAAATTATTTAATCTGATTATATTCATCTCAACAATATGGATCAGCGCTAATTAACATTGAATAAGACTAATCTAGCCAATTGAAAGATTCAAATAAATAATATTATCCAGGTCAGCAATTTGAAAATATTATTTTTAACTTTTTTTATTGTGAATTTGAAATCTCCGTGTACGATCTAATAATATGCATAATATTAATCGTAGTTATTATAAATAAATCAACTTCTACAAACTAGTTTCCAAGGCTCTACAGGTTCTAAAGGGTTAACACCGTCCCTAATGCACAAATGTATTTTTCGTTCAATCTGATTTATAGCTCTTTAAACATATCTTCTTCTTATACTTCCGAATGCATTCTATGCTCTTTATTGTAAATGTTGAAATGTATTGATATCACTTTTAAAAACGACGTTAAGTAATGCCCAATAATTTTATATTATTTTATTGCATTTGATTTTTTGTATTCAATGTTTTACCCCACGTCATTGTTAAGTTTGAAAGCTTATCAATATTGTAACGATGAATAGATTAAATATTTAAAAAACCAGAGCCGGACTTGAAATTAGTTTAATTAAATTGTGTTCAGATATCCGAAACAAAAAAAAAATTAAGTGTGGCATATCATTGTACTCAGGAGACCGAGTTCTTTCAAAATCTAAAATAAAAAATGCAGGTCCGTAATTAAAAAAATCAAGTTGGCCTCTGTATCCCACAAAATATCAGATAATTTAAAAATCTAAAAATGTTTTCAGTTAGCCCTAATAAAGTGGCTATGAGAATGTGCAATTAGTTTTTTGATTTTCTAAAAAGTAACGACAGGAAAAAATAAAATTGATTTTCCAAAAAAATCCGTTTTTCCCAAAAAACTCAGCAATTCTTGAAATTTGCAAAACTTTTTTGATGGCATCTTGGTGAACATCCCAAGGCGCAACTTTGCCCAAATTTAACCATTTTCGTATCTCTTACGGTTTCCGAGATACCAATGCTCGTATCTCGAATTTGTAGCACTGTATAGATGATGCCAAATTAAGTTCGACATTACTTATCTTCTTTTCATATTATTGCTTTTTTAATATGATTTTTAGAGTATAGCTTCTTGTCAGTTTTTTAATCTGAGCCTGATTTAGAACATAATCTTGTAATGATTTTTTATTATTATTTAGAGTTAGGCAAAAAATCGCTAATCGATATTTTCACTGTGAAATAAAAGTAGCAGTTCACGGTCGTTACCAAGATAAGAATAAACAGTGAATTGCTACAGCTTCACACTTCCATGTGCTTAATACTTTAACCAAAACCTTAACCTTAGTGCCTTTAGTTTATTCTTTAAACTATTAGCTTATTAGGTATAGGCTTTCCGGAGACTGAGCTGCGAACATATCTAACACAGCGGGAATACTATTTCCAGCAAAATGCCGTTGAACCATCTAACTTTTTCAGATGTTGCGAAATTCATAATTATTTTATACAAAATTACTCTGTTTGGTACCTTCATATTTTTGTAAACAAAATGTGACATCGAATTTGACAATGGCACAATCACATTTTTTGCTGGTTATTTTAATTGTAGCTTTCTCTGGACCGTATTAATTTTATTAATTTGAAGGTATATTTTTGCAAATAACTTTTAAATTACTATTCCAAATGAAACGAAATTCTACACAAAAGTACAACTTTAACACCTCTTCAAAAAGTCTAATACAACTTTTGCATAAAATCATCTGGGGAGATAATATTTGATCTTTTCAAAATTTTCATAATATTTCCTATGTTCTGTGTTCCGATGCACCACACGGTATATTATTACTATCACTCTTTTTATTCGTACGTATATTATCAGTAAATAATTTCATTATTTTTTTAAATAACATGAACAGAAGAGCACAGTCTAGTGCCGCTATATGGTGGTCTTACGTCGCGGTCGGCATCATAAACTAGATGTTATTATAATATGTGAATGATCGATAGTGAAATCGCAGTCGAAGTTAAAAACTAGCAGTTAATAAAATATCACGGACAGGTTTACTGCGATATTATGACAACAGCATAACTCAAAGGCATAACCCTAATCTAAAAAACACATTAAGATCTAAAATTAACGTTAACAGAATAAGTCACATTCACAGGTTAATTTCGCGCCGAATAAAAAATTATGGTCGCAGGTATATCTTCTTCTTCTTCGGGTTCCATCTCCTAATGGAGGTTGGAAATCATCATGGCAATTCTAACTTTGTTAACGGCTGCTCTGAATAACTGGTTTGAAGTCCTTCCAAACCATTCTCTCAAATTTTTGAGCCATGATGTTCATCTTCTTCCTTGGCTCCTTCTGCCCTTTATCTTTCCTTCTATTATGTTCTGCAGCAGGGCATATTTAGGTCCTCTCATTATGTGTCCAAAGTATTTAAGTTTTCTCTTTTTAAGGGTGTTAATCACCTCTTCGTCCTGAATTCTGCGTCGCAGTTCTACATTTGTAACCTTGTCAGTCCATGCAATCCTCAGCATACGCCGATAACACCATCTTTCGAATGCTTCAATCTTCTCCATTTCGGCCTTTTTAAGTGTCCAAAAGCCTCTGAACCATAGAGTAGAGTTGCAAATTTGTAACCCCTTAGCATTCTTAATCTAAGCTTTAAGTTGATGTCTCCACTGCACAGACATTTTTTGAGTTTTACAAAGGATGCTCTGGCTATTTCTATTCGAGCTTTTATTTCTGCTGATTGATCCAAGTTTTCGGTCAACCAACTGCCTAGATATTTATATTTTTGTACTCTCTCCATAGGTGTATATTATCTATTAGAACATTGGCTTGGACATCTCTCTTAGTGATTATCATTTTCAGGCCATAGACTCTACACGTGTTATTTAGTCGTTATGTAGAAGTGTTTGCAGACCCTCCACGTTGTCTGCTATAAGGACGGTATCGTCCGCGAACCGCATATTATTTAAGACCTGCCGATTAATAGTGATGCCCTCCTTTCTACTAGTCAAGGCCTCCCAAAAAATTATTACATGTTAATGCGATTTCACGTTTTAGCTGAATTCTAATATTTACTAAAATAAGGAAAACTTCTAATTACAGGAAGCAACACATGTGTGCTTGATAACATGGGCATAGTCAACACAGGCTACAATTTCGTCATCTTTGTAATTTGTGCTGCCCTGCGTGGATGTCCAAATATTGCGCTTTGCCTTTGGTAATTTATATTAAAATTTTTATCTATGAAAGTCGAGGCCTGCTAAAAGTTCTTGATTGTGCAGATTGTTAAGGGGAAAGAACTTAACGTGTGGGACATACAATAATTACATATATTTAATTTTGTTTATCTACTTAAATTTGCAAAAAAGTTTCCTAAAAGATATTGGTCCTTGAGTAAATGCAATTTAGTATGAGAAAGAGGTTGGAACTATGAAAAAAAAACTATATTTTTGTTATTTGTATGTTATTTTAACATTGGCTCTATGGCTCTATACTTTTGCTGTATTTATTTTTATTAACTATGGTTCGTTTCTATTTTATATAATGTATATTTTTTATAATTTACGTAGAGTAAATTATAATACCTACATTCAGAATAAAATGTTTGCTGGTTTCTTTAAAAAAATAACACTATCTAATAAAAACCAGCAATATTGTTATTTAGGTTTATATAAACTTGTACATAATGCATGTTAAAACATACATTTATAGTAGACGTTTACTAAGGAGAATATTATGTCCCGTTCACATTCATAATTCTAACCTCAAAACTGTATGAATGGTGTTATCGCGCCTGTGCGCAATGAGACGTCGCCCAAAATTCACTCTCAGTTCTTACGTATGACGACCCGCAAGGCGAGGATGAGGAGAACTCTTTGCCACACATCGGAGTCAGTAAGCTGCCACCGGGCATTCTACCTCACGGTCTTCCCCAGGTCAAGGAGGTACAACCGGCCGTCACGCAGGTGGAACAAGAGGCCAAGAAGGAACACGAAACGAAAGAAAGTAAGTATAGTATAAAACGTATAATAAATAAAAATAATAGTATAAAATTCAAAGAGGAAAAAACGATAATTGCTATAATTTTACGATTAAAGCTTGATTTTCATGCATCCGTTGTCCGACGATACGTTGATACGATATTAATATTATTGGTAGAATTTAAAGACTTTGATTGGTTAGAAAATAACGCAGTTTTTAAATTTATTGCATTTTTCCGCATGTCTCCGTTTATCGGATATACGTTGGTGTTATTTTATATTTTCGTTTCCATAACGATTTTGCTATTTTACTTATATTTTTATTAAAGTTAGATTAAATTTGTTAAAAAAGTGTCAAAACGTCCGTTATCGTATGAACGGGTCCCTTGACGGGCCGAAGTAAAATATTTACGGATGAAAAGTGGCGCGAAAACGCTATGACCAATCAGAGCACCGTCGGACCATAGTGTCAACGTATAACGGATGCATGAAAATGAAGCTTAAGTATTAATAAAAACATTTATTAATTCCAAATTTCTAGGAATATTGCTAACGATACTTGTTTTATGTGAAACGTCGTTAAGTTTTCACGGACATAAATTTAGTTAAATAAATAAGTTATTATTTAATTGTAAAGAGTGGTTCAGTAACACAGAGGTCTGCAAAAAAAGAAAAATTCTCGAGCCCCCAACCATTCCTGGTGTTTTTTTTATGTAAAATCACGCCCAATACAAATATAACTCCCATTTTCTTCTACCACCCACCATTTTCGGGTGAGGTCCTCTATTGTTTTTTCATGTTTTATCACTTTTGGATAATAATGATAATTTTATGGATATAAATTTAATTTGAGGAGGTGAAAAGAATTATTTTGGTGTAAACAATGAATTAAAAGAAATCTATCTTTATTTGCTGCTGGCTTGCCCTTTATACCCTAGATGTAGATGTACCCTAGAAGATAATCTTTCGTCCCAAAACCTCAGGTAGAATGTAGAATGTTTCCCATCCCCCTCTGACAACAGATGATGTTCTTCCTCCCTGTATACACCCTTCCACGGTTGGAATTTGGATCTCCGTTTTATCCCTCTTTCTCTATTGCCTTCTTGGATTTGAGGTCAATTCCTATTGTGAGGACCTGACCATGACCCTCCTCCATCGAGTTGATGACTCGCCAACTCGATGTTCTTACATTGGAGTTCTGAGCCTGGATAAGACTCAGTAGGTAGGTGGAGTCTTTCGCTTTGCTACTCGGCAGAAAAACCGTGATGGCCGCCCCTTTTGAGATGTTTTCTCCCTTCACTGCAGCCAGTCCCGGCCCTTGCCAATTTTTAAGCTTAGGTGTGCGGTTTCCACCAACCAATCCGCCGATTCCTGAGATACACAATCAATGGGGATCATACCCACCCGATAGTGTATTCCCGCAAAACGCAGTTGACCCACATTTTATAGATCGTCGTGTTGCGATCCGATCGCCACTACTTCGTCCAGTATAGCCTCTTCTAGAGCCGTTTTCTGGTCGGTGGTCAGTGCAACCTCTGGATAATTGTTTGGCAGCACCGCCATTTTCTTGGCGGTGCATTGTTTGCACTTGTGCAACAATAGCGGCAAAGCTGGTGATACGTCCCTGCTTGCCTCCCGGTGTTCGACGGCTTCCCATCCTGGCTTTTTCTCTCTTTGCCTTAGCAGAGCTGTTTTTTTTTTCTCTCCTCTTTTCGGAGTAGTGTTTTCGCTTTAGCTTCCTCTGGAGCAAATCCTTCGTGGAGCAGTCGGAGGTATCTCCGTGCTTCTGCTCCGCTAAGACCTACTCTCAGAGGATCGTCTAGCCCGCCTGGTTGACCCAAGCCGGGTAGACGAAACGGTAGCTTGTGTCGCTTATTGGGTCTAGACTTAGGCTCCCGACTTTTGCTGGAGGAGATGGTAGCTTGTGTGCCACTGGACGATGTACCGCTGAAATATGATCTGCCGCCTCTCCTGTAGTTCTTTTTGGGTTTGGTCCCTTGGAAGTTTCATTGTTAATGTACCCAGTGTCGCTAGGGGGTCGCCCCCACAGCTTCACCGTTGGTGTTTTTAATACTAGATCTCATAGTGTTCACACGAGTCGCTAGTGATAATCGGTCCACTTCTACAGAGCCCCGCATGTAGAAGTAAGGGGCAAATACAGTGAGATGCCCCCTGGTGCCCCAAGCTGATACCAGTAAAGGCTAGTCTTCTATCTAGCCACGCATCCCTTTGATCTGATCCCGCCATCTTAGAATTTAGGTTTTTGGTGAGGTTGTCTCCTCTTGATCTGGGCGGTTAAGCCAAGACCCCCCCACCCCACCCCCCACCCTCTACCCGTGAGACATGACCACAGACAGTAGGGGATACCTGGTATAACGGACAGGATAGCCCCGTCCGACATCGTTATATGTCTTGGCGCAATACCCTGGCCACGACATTACAGCTAGGGACAAGACAGTGAGCGAAAGTGCTAGAGGAGATTCCCCCAGCACCTAACTAGGAGCTTCCCCACCAACGACAAGGTCTTACATCGCCCTAGGGGAAGAAACCTCCGGCAACATGCTTTATATACTATTACCCCATCTCTGAAAACCTCTTCTCTATCATAGCCATGTCTTGATAAAACCGTTCATCGTGTTCATCCAAGACTATTCATAAATTTTCAAGGAAGAAGTCCAGATGTGAGTGAAGGAAATGCACTTTTTGAGCCATGTACGCTAACCAATTCCTCGACCTGAGCGAGATAATCATCTCTTTTTTGGTTACCCAAAAAGTTCTTACACATGTTTTATTTCCGATTCAGGTGTTCAATTAAAGTAGAATCTTAGAAAAGGTTGTCTAATATTATTTTATGTAGAAATTTTATACTTATAGTTCTATAAAAAATATTTTAATTCCAAAAAATATCTCAAGATGTGTCTTTAAAATTGCCTTCTTTAAGGATAGAAGTATGTATTACACTATGTAATTATGTATAAGTAAAAATACTATAAAATATTTGTTTATTTTTGTACTTTTTTTAATTAGTTCGAGAGCTTAGCGAAGAAGAAAAACAGATGATAATTCTTTCCGAGGACTTCCAGCAATTTATTGACAGATCAGGAAGGATTATGGAAAGGGCTCTCTGCGAGACAGTGGATATTTATACTGATTATTCCGGAATAGGAGAGGACGCTTTAGATGAGAAATGCCACCAGAGGATATCCTTCAATAGAACGTTCTACGATGAGAGGTATGCACTTGTAAAATTTCAACGATTTATTAATACATTTATGTACTTTATTTCAGGTGGTCAAAAAACCGTACCATAACTTCCTTGGATTGGTCAACTCAGTTTCCTGAATTACTTCTGGCTTCTTATAATAATAACGAAGAATCGCCAAACGATCCAGATGGCGTGGTTCTAGTTTGGAACACCAAATTTAAGAAAACAACGCCTGAATATATTTTCCATTGTCAAAGTGCTGTGTTATCTACTACTTTTGCTAGGTAAAATATAGAAGTAATTTTTATAACCATATTGCCACTTCATAAAGTCATATAAATATTATGAACATTAATATATTTTCTTATTTATTATCCTTTATTATTCTTGGCAGGTTTCACCCAAACCTTATACTTGGTGGAACATATTCTGGTCAAATCGTTCTTTGGGATAACAGGGTTCAGAAGAGGACACCTATACAAAGGACGCCATTGTCTACTACCGCACATACAGTATGTGCTTGTAAAACCTTTTTGGTCATTGTAATCAATAATAAATCGTTGTATTGTAGCATCCTGTTTATTGTATGTCAGTGGTGGGCACTCAAAACGCGCACAACTTAATCAGTATATCAACGGATGGTAGAATGTGCTCGTGGTCTTTAGATATGTTAGGACAACCCCAGGACACATTGGATTTAAGTAGGACGCAAAGTAAACCGGTAGCTGTCACTTGCTTGGATTTCCCGAGTTCCGATGTTAATAATTTTGTAATTGGATCGGAAGAAGGTAAGTCGCTCTATAATAACGTTTGTCACATAAAATAGCAAATTTTCTAAATTATATATCTCGCTTTTAATCTAGTAGACGTTGGGTTATAGGTTACACAAGGGTGGTTTGACTTTAACACGGAACTTTAACACTTCGACTTTAACACGGAATTATCCTTCATTACAAACTATGGATAGTGTTTGCAAATCTTTCGATATATTATACCCAAGTTAATTTTGGACTGTTTATAAATATCTAAACATACAGGGTGTCTGGAAAGTTAACGATAATACTGAAAGGGGTTATGGACCAACTCATAAACATCCAGAAAAACATAATATGGCCATAAGTAAAAAATCGATGGTTTTCGAGATATTGCCACTTTAATAGAATTTGTTAAAATTTTACACCCCCATTTACAATTTTACATTTTTTCAACACTCGAAAATCAGTTCCAAGGGGACGATTTTAACAAATTTTATTAAAGTGCCAATATTTCGAAAACCATGGATTTTTTACAAAGGTCATATTATGTTTTTCTGGATGCTTATAAGTTGGTCCATCACCCCTTTCAGTATTATCGTTGACTTTCCAGACACCCTGTATACTTATACACTAACTAAAAATTATTTATTTACTTATTTATAATAAATAATAAATGTATACAATTTATCTTTACATATTTTTACACATTAGAAGAAAAATATATAACACAAAATATGAAAATAAACAGCTAGGAGTTTTACTCGTAAACAGCAATACATTTTTGTAATATTTTCTCTGGTATTGATAATACGTAATCTTCTATCTACGCCTATTCACTACCATTAAATTGAGTCGTACTGAACGGAATTTCCGGTTCTGTCCGCAGAAGAATTTTGACAACCTAAGGATAGATTTATTTGGGAAATGCAGTTATGTTCTATATCTATCCTTCAATAGGCGACAAGAATTTATGAGGTGCCTGCAGTATATTCTTGTATATGTGATAAAAATTAATAATTTCAAGAATATTCATCTGTCTTTATTCGATCCAGTGATTTAATCATCTACGGTTGTCAGACAGTAAATTAGGAAATTCTCTCATTCCAATACATTTGTATATTGTATACACATGTCTTTTTTGAATAAAAATATCCTGACGCTATCGTCATTTTTCGTGAATTAGATTATATATCCCTTTGCAGAAAAATAAAATTTGTAGGTACCTTGATATTTTTTTTAGTTGAAAACCAAATGTTTTTTTGCTAGTAATTTTATATAAAAAATGAATGTATGTGATTTGAAGTATTACCTTTCTGTATAGGAGCCGCATATTCAGCGTGTCGACATGGTGCTAAAACGGGCATAACAGAAACGTACGAAGGTCACCAAGGGCCCATAACGGGAATCAGCGTGAATTCGGTCCAAGGTGGCATCGATTTCTCGCATATGTTCCTAACGTCGTCGTTTGATTGGACTATTAAGTTATGGAGCTTAAAGGTAACTATAATAGTTTAGAAGAGTTAGGAGAAAAAAAGTCCATTTTATAAGCATTTTTAACTAATCAACTTAATCTGTGTTCATAACACTAATCCCAAACGCATGCTAAATTGTAAATGAATGTAACAAACGATGTCCGATATTTTTTTTTAAATCAATTTTCTCTGTAAAAGTAAGTTTTGTGATGTCTGTTTTTTCCTCTTACTCTTCATTTTATTTGCGCCTATTCAAAATTTGATCTAATTGGTTGATTAAACAGTATCTTAAAAAACAAAAACAAACCAATCAAAACACACTGTAAGCTAAAACGCGCCTATTTACGAATTCCATTTGCCGAGTGCTTTTCAAATCTAGCTATATTTTACATTATTTTTTTAATAAATGAAAGTGATACACTTCAAGACGATTTTTTTTAGTTGCCTATGTTTCGAATAATTTCTAGAATGAAAAATAGAAACGTGTTTTCATGTAACTGGTTTCAGCTATTCTAATGTTAAAAATTGCAAATTATGCATTTCCGCAGAAAAAAAATGTTTGTGACTGTTTATTTGGAAAGGCTTCCAAATACTAGGTTAGGTTGCTGGGGTTTGGGACAAGAACGGTAAACTAATAGAGATAGGTAGACATCCTCATAAGACGTACGTTCGCCTCTTCCCGCGCTTCAGCTGACAGTTGTGACGTCATTGTAGTCCTTGTCATGATAGTGTGTATTATTAGTTGCCTATGGTAAACTTATATAAAAATAACAGCTGAGAAATTTTGAGTTAATTATATTGTCAATTTTAAATGTGAAAAAGGTGTCTTTAAAGTTTTTAGAGCTATAGAGTGTATAAATACGTTCATTTTGTGTTGTGGATTGTGACAAAGTGCTTACTAAGTGCCTACGATATTGTTTTTTAATTATTTTAAAGCAAAATATGGAAGTACTCTAAAAAGAATGCTTGCAAAAGGTGATGCTGGGAACTGCTGTTCTTAAAAATGCATTATCCGAGTATTTAATACGATTTATACAGTTAATTTTCTATACTGTATACATATAAGGTGTTTAAATAAATTAACTAAATAATGAACGTTTTGCATTCGGCAACCAATAATGCACGTGTGTGTATTATTGGTTGCCGGATAAGGACTAATAACCATGACAAGGACTACAATGACATCACAAAGCGAGTAGTTTTCACATGCAGCTGGTGGACACTTTTGGCTGAATGAGCAGTTCTATTAGGTTAACCGTTCTTGGGTTTGGGATCCTTTTTGATCTCTCACTCGGAGACCTTGGACCCATTGCGATACCCGTGTGTTATTGTACCAAATCTTCCTCTCATACTTTCTTTGCGTTAGAGCACTTCCAGCTCTTTGCAAAGTTCCCGATGTCGCTGATGTTGGCTTCTGCTACTTCTAGTTCCTCTAAAAAACGTTGCCCTAAAGTTTTAAAGCGGCGGTATTCCAGTGCCGGACAGTGACACAGCAGATGCTCTATGGTTTCTTCTTCCTCTTCGCATTCTCTCCAGTAGTCGTCGTTGGAAATCTTTCATCTCACGAGGTTTACCCCCGTAGGACAGTTTCCAGTGATGACACCTACAATTATGCCTACTAAGTTTTTTTTGTGCTCTAGTAGTTTTGTCTCTTTGCTATCTACCACTGACCACAGTCTTCGAGCTGCAGTCCTCACGGTGTTGCAACGTATCTTGCTAGTTGGCCTTGATTGTAGTCTCTATAGCTTCTTTCAGTATATTGATCGTCACATGTAATGGGTCATCTGCTATGGCCTCTCCCCTGACCCCCTCTTTGGCGAGTCTGTCCGCTTCTTGGTTGCCCACCACATTGCTGTGCTTCTCGGTAGTCCATCACAGTTTTCGATCTAACTGATTGCATAGTGATGCTTCTTAAAGCACCAAAGCTATCAGAATATATCAATCTATATCTCCTATTGGTCTATCAGAGTTTTTTTCTCGTATACAACTGGCCGTTTCCTTTACAGCGCAAACCTCTGCTTGTAGACATTACAGCCATCCGATAGCCTTAAAGATCGTCAGATGTCTAGTTCCTCTGACAATATGCCTATACCTGTGCCTCCTGAAATTACGGAAGCATCTGTGTAGACTGCTATCTCTTGAGTTCCAAACACTAAATAAACAAATATTTTTTTACATAACTGATTTGAGCAGCTAAACTGAAGTAGCCCTAATTTAAGCAATTCTAAAGTTGATAAACTGAAAATGTGCATTTCCGCAAAAAAAATTGTGACATACTATTCGAGAAGGCTTCCAAATACATAAACAGATATTTCCTAACTAACTGATTTCAGCTAAACGAAAGTTGAGCCTGATTTTCTTTTGTTCGGCTCATGGTTTTTGCTTAAAAAATTGCTAGTAAAATTTTGCTTAGTTTTCACTCTAAGCGAATTCATTCTAGATGGATTTCACTGTATATTTTTCTAGGATTCGAAACCGATATATTCCTTCGATGACAACGGAGATTACCTTTTGAATTTAAAATGGTCGCCCGTTCACCCCGCCTTGTTTGCGGCGGTTGATTGTTGCGGCCGTTTAGATTTGTGGAACTTAAACCAGGATACGGAGGTGCCCGCAGCCAGCGTAACGGTGGAAGGAATGCCTGCATTGAATAAAGTTTCCTGGACGCCTTCCGGTCTGCACGTCACAGTGGGAGATAACTTGGGTAGGATTCACGTCTATGATGTAGCGGAGGTAAGTTTTGTACTAATTTGTTTAACTATTGGTAGAATTGAGTATTAATGTTTATGTTGAGACTACTTTCTCTTATATTTTTTAAAATGTTAGGGTAATTCTTAGAATCCTTCCATATTGACGTATGCAACAGAAATTTATCTATTTGATATGTGAAATAATATCTTTCACCCCCGGTGTTTTCAGGCATAGATAGCGCGTTATAATCCGCCAGATATATTTTATTTGATGGATAGCAGAAAAAAGTGTATCTTCACCTATAGATACCAATATCTATTAGATAAAATAACCTTATCCGTCAGATATCCTATTTGGGACCTGAACTGCCAAATATCGCTTTATTTGTCAGATAAAAATTTGACACGAGGAGATTTTGATTTAATTTAATAAAATTGCTTAACATAACCTAAGACATTATTACTATTGTAGATTTCGATTATTTCAATAAATTCGATTTTAGATTATTTCGAAAAGACTTACCTATTCTGAGTATATAGACTATAACCATTTTAGAACGTATAAGGTATAAACACTAATAAACACATTGAAATGGTGCAAAAAACTATTGTTGCTGGTGCCGGACTTTATAAGGAGTGTTACAAAATAAAAGGAACCTCTGTTAGAGCATCAGAACGAAGAGAATACATTAAGTCAGGATAATAGTGATGAAATATGTACAATTACCGAGTAAAAATATAACTCAACGGCAATTTATACAAAATAAATTATTTTACTTAATCCCTTCAATTAAAAACCATTACGTACTTAATAAAGCTCTAAAGTAGGTAAAAAATAAATAAAACTTTTTAAATCAAACTATTTATTTCATTTTTAATTCTAATATCTTAATTCATTAATATTACAACAGGAACCTTAGAAAACCTGTTATTCAATTCACATTTGCTTTTATTTCTTTTGTGTTACAATTTTAATCTAATTTCTTGCACTATGTACCTTATACTGTATACATCTCTTCTTCATGCTGTTTTTTAAGTAACTCTCTAGCTAAACCTTTTTAAAACACCTCCTTTGAATACCAGTTAGTTCAACTTTTTTACTGTTAAAAGGTTTATTAATATCAACTTTGTTTACACAATATTTTTCCTTTATTTTTTCCTGGTTATTTTGAAGTTCCATCATTTTGAGTTCTTAAAAATAAAAGTAGATAATATGACAAAATTTTTTCATATTTATTTTTTTTATTAAAAAAATTGTACCTATGTGTTAATGTAACAATTATTATAGGTGCTCTTAATTTATTATTAATCAAGACAAAAGTATCTAAAATCATCTACATATATAAAATGCTAATGTTTATCTGTGTCATCTCTACTGAAGTAACGACTTGCTCTAGAAAGTTGCTTTTTACTAAAAGATAGCTAATTGGCTCTTCTAAAAACTGTCGCCGCCGGATTTTTTGTTTTTCATTTAATTAAAAAAAATAAGTATTTTTTTCCCTGATGTCGCTGTCGTGGCGGATGCGCCAGGCTTCAACTAGTACACCAATAAATGAGGAGATAATACCACAGTACTGGTCTTTGGGGTTATATACTTATTCTCAATCTTGCTTTTCTAAAGAAAAATAATATAAGTACATTTATCTATTTTATAAAATAAAAACTCACCTTAATTACTATCATCGATGCTATCCTACCTATTTCTTTATTATGAGAAGCCCTACAACAATACATATTTGTTATTACTAACAGCCTTATGCTATTTTTTTACCAGATTGTGGTTTGAGGATTTATCTATAAATCTCGATCTGCTTGCACTTCACCAGTTTCTTCCATGTTTTCTATTATCAATTTATTGTACTAAAATGTTAATATAATAAATATAACAGTAATATCATATAATTCCATAAAGGTAAAATTAATTAACGTATACCATAATAGAACTGGTCAGAGTTGAACACAAAATATATTTTAGTTAAATTTTACTGTTTTTATTTTCATTTTGAAGATCTTTTGACAACTGAATAATAACCTCACTTTTTAATCTAACGATTTGAAATTCCCAGTTTTTGTCTCTGTCTGTTGCATAGACTTTTCATATATAACCATCTCAATTTCAGATATCTTATATTGGCAACAGTTTCTCTACGGAGTGTCTAACGGTCCGTAGGCGGCCCGTCCTCCAAATTGTTATCTTTTGGATTATTTTGTATGAAAATACCCAAATTTTATATCCTGTAGATAGCAAGCTCTAGATTGTTTATCTTTTAGATAGTTATTTGTTAGATAAAAAGCTATTTATCTATAACTGAAAACACCGAGCCTTAGTCTGCATTTACCTTGTAAAATTTAATTCAGCTGTTGTAATTAAAAATTATAGAATTCTTGAAAATTATTAATAAATATTATGTATGAATACTTAGAAACGACAGAAATCAATGTAGGGGGTTAAATGTCAATAACAGTCTTATTCAGGGTGTGTTCCGAAATTGCACTTTGGTGTACGTATCTGTTAAATTATTTATGGATGATAAAACTAGCTTGCCACGAACCGGTACGATTCATAAATAAACATTTCACGAGCTGGAACTATTTATTTAACCTATAAGGATGTTTCTGCTCTGGGTTAATTCAAGTTCTGATTATCACATTCGTATACCGGGTGCGTCTCAAAAGTGTCTCACCGCTATAACTTTTTTTTTCAGATAAAAAACAAGATTTGGTATGTCAGTATATTACATAAATTAGGATTGATTGACGTATTCAATTGTTTTTGTTCACTTCCTGTTTCACCGGAAATGACTACAACTTTTGATTTTTAAATGGCACCCTCGGTATATTTCTATTTTATTCGATAGAAAATGACACTCTGAATAGAATGGCATATCATATGTCAACTTTTGACATTTTCGCATATGGTTTATTTGAAATTGTAACATGCGGTTCATAACGACAATTTGACACAAAATACCAAGTGTGGTGCCAAATTATTCGTAAAAAAATGCTTTCTTCAAATATGCTAATGAGCCACCCTTGTACCGTTTGAAAAAATTGAGATATGATTTGGGCATCTTTTACAAGACACGAAAAACATTAGACGATCAAAACTATTTTTCCAAAGCCCCTTTATTAAAAATTGTGTTTTTAAAACAGCCACGGCACTCTAGATTGGAGTTTTAAATGCGATTTTTTTCAAGTGAAAATGCCAAAAGTTGACATATGATATGTCATTCTATTTGGAGTGTCATTTTCTACCGAATAAAGTAAAAAAATACTGATGGTACCATTTAAAAATCAAAAGTTGTAGTCATTTTTGGTGAAACAAGAAGTGACCAAAAACAATTGAATACGTCAATCAATCCTAATTTATGCCATATATTAACATACCAAATTCGGTTTTTTTATCTAAAAAAAAATAAAAAGTGATAGTGGTGAGTCATTTTCGAGACGCACCCTGTATATGCAAAATATAAAAGACAATCGTCGTATTATGTATAATATGCTCTTCGATACTCTTTAAGAGAACCAAAAAATTATATCATTGAGAGTGCTTACAAGAAATTCAGTAATAATATAAAACTCTTTTAATGCATTTTACTCAGTCACATGCATAACAGCGCTTCCAGATGGAGCGGACCCTCCGCGACTTCGAGCAGGCACCATGAGTTTATATGAACAATTTCACATGGATCGCGTATGCTCCGTCCGGATGAGCTATCTTGAAAAACATCCGCGCGGACGGTCCGCTCCATCTGAAAGCGCTGTAATATTCGCTTACAACTGACAAAAAATTGCTTTAAGTATTTAGTTTATTTAGTGTGCTTTTAATATATTTTCCTTTCAGAACTTTGCTCATCCACGACACGACGAATGGAACAAATTTCTGTACACTACCCAGGAATTGAGAAACAGCCAAGTGGACGAAGAACTAGAAAAGCTTAATTATTCCGTGTCTAATATAAACCCTTCATCTTTCTGAACTCATCTAGCTTGAATGCCATTTTAGGGGAATTATTGATTTATGACTTTCGATTTGGTATCTATACAAATGGCTGGAAGATGGTATTTATTTATAAAGGATTGCTTTCTAAATAATTTTTAAAAAGAGAATGCTAATATTTATTTTTACACTTTAGCCATTTGTATATTCTATTAACTACTGAACTTATATTTATCAACTGTGAATGCAATGTGCAAATACTATAGATAAAACGAAAATCGGCCAATGTTAATCGTAGCCAAAATGCCATATGCTCTTCTTTTATCCATCTTATAAGTATAAGAGCCCCTCTTTTTCAGTTACCATAACGTGTGCAGCTACGTATATTTATTTCTTGATATGTCGTAATATTGATTCTTTATTAAATTAACATCACTTTGCAAAACATCATACTCATCTAGATTCTTTAAGTTCACGATATTTAACTAGTCATTGAGATTTGTAAACATATTTAATGAAATTTAAATGTATAATAGTTTAAATATACAGAGTGTTATTTAAATAGGTAGTAAAACTTCAGAGGTTGATTCTTTGAGCGATTTTAAGACCAAAAATTACTCGTTTTTTTCGCAAATACAAATATTTTTTTGGTTTTCGAGTATCTTCGTATCTTGCTTTGTTTTCCAGATAAAAAATAGGAACCACTTATGTCATGTTTATAGGGAATAATAATAGCCATTTCTAATAATTAATAAAACAATTATCTTTTTTTTTTAGAATCCTGATGTTTAGATCTGATGTTAATTTAAATGAAGTATTAATCAATAGTAAGTTGGTAACTGAGTTAGTATTCTCGAAAATTGTTCGACAATTTTCCGAGATATGCAATTATTGTCGTTAGACGACTCTATATATTGTGATCTTGTGACCTGTAAAGGTAGATAGAAAGGGGATAGTAGTAAGATAAAAAAAATGGATTTTTTCTACTCACTTTAGTATCTAAGTCACTCTGTTAATATTTACCATTTTGTTTTGTTTCCATTTCCAGATAAAGAATAATATGTATAACGTGCTTGTTCAATACTAAGTAAAGATATTTATAAAAAAAAAACATATTTATATATGAGAATAAAATGTGTAACACACCTTTATCAGTGATTAACTTTTTTTGTTTACTTAATTACTGTTATAAGGGAAGAGAAAAAAATGAAATAAAGCCATTATAACAGAAATACTACTTTCTTAATAGTGATCTATGTTACATGTGCCTGTATATAGCTAATTTATTTTCTTTGATTTTTTTTGTATTAACAGATAATTTAGTGATTTTTGATACTTATTGTTTTATATATTTTGTGCCTCAGTGTACATAAATAAATTATTCAAAATTGATAAAACGTTTATTAATAATCGCTTATTTTTACATAACATCATTTTTTATCCAGAATATATTAACAACCAAACCAAACTTCCTTCGTGCAATCTATGAACTTGTAAAGGCCGTTTTAGAGTCAGTCTTTTTTTCTGCAATTCGCTATTTTCTTGATGAAAGACATGCGCAGTTCAAAAGCAGCTGGGCAAATTCAGGCTTTTGTAGCTGTAAGGATACCAATTCTCTAATAGTTTACGTGATAAAAAATAAAACGTGTAAAATTGACAAAACCATGACCTTGAATAAGATTGGTTAAATCTTAAATTCTGCATACTGAAAGCTGAAATTTGGCTCATAGGTTTAAGGATAGTCGACATATCAAACAGCATTGGTTAGTATACACAGTTTCTCAAAAAGTATAGGATGGGTCAAATTCGACGCTTTTAAATGGAAACACCCCTTTCTATAGGAGATAGACGAAAACTAATATCGCTGTCTGTACCTCAATTTTCATCAAAAACATGATGGTGAAAACCGCACATCGATATCTGTTACCGTTTCGGAGTTACCGGGTGTTTTTCAAAAATGTGCATTTTTAACAAATCGCTGTAACTTTTTTGTTATGGAAAATTTTGTATTTCTATGAAAACATTTCCAAAGCACCTTTTTACGTAGAATTTAATGGTTAAATATAATTTTTTTAAAATTAATAATCATGTTATCAACAGAAAAATTGATTTTTTATGTGGGACACCCTCTATATTTTTAATTAACTGAAAAGAATTTAAATTTGCCTTTCCAAAAATATAGCACACTTGATATTTTGTTATAATCCCCTTCGAAATACAGAATTTTTAAAAGTTCGCCACTTTTAACTAGTAGGCTTTGGGCCCCTTATTGATGATATGCCTTTAATGGAACTCGAAAACATATTTTTCCAGCAAGACGACGCACCGCCTCTGAACGCTGAAGTTATCAGCAAATTTTTGCAGCCAATTTCAGGAATAATTAAATAGCTAACCAAGATCCCAGCCGTTGGCCGTCGAGGCCGCCTGACTTAGTGCCCATGGATCTAATCCTATTAGAGGTTCCTTATTCTTCCGTATAATCTAGACAAGAATTAGAAATACTTAGCAGTTATGAGACGGTATCTTTCACCCCTACTGAGTTAATGAATTCCGCGAAAAATGTTCAAAAACTGCCCCGTCTGTCCATAACAAGACGGTTGATATGTCGATCACCTGTAGCAAAATCTCATGTCTTGGTTTCCTATTTATTTTTATTGTTATTAGATATAGTTTAAACGTGTTGATGTTGGTTAAATATATTTTAAATTGTTATAAAATTCTGCATCTCTCATAGCAAATATTATTTTCGTTTTAATTGATGCTCACAGCTAGATTTTTTTACATTACAGCCAGTTCAAAGCCTACTTATTTCAAGCGGGCGAATTTTTATATACTCTATATCTCGAAGAGGAATCGAGCAAAATATCAAGTGTGTTATATTTTTGGAAAGGTAATTTTAAATTCTTTTTAATAAATTAAAAATATACAGGGTGTCCCATATAAAAAATCAAATTTTCTGTTGATAATTCTTAAATTATTAATTAAAAAAAAATTATACTTAAACCATTAAATTCTACTTGAAAAGGTGCTTTGGAAATGTTTTCATAAAAATACAAAATTTTCCATAGCAAAAAAGTTATAGCGATTTGTTAAAAACGCATATTTTTGAAAAACATCCCGTAACTCCGAAACGGTAACAGATACCGATATGCGGTTTTCACCATCATGTTTTTGACAAAAATTGAGCCAAATAATGAATTTGTCAAAATACTTGCGAAAAACTCTTGTTTACACGACAACGTAACGTAGGTTTCTGCGATACGTGTCGAGAGATACGTATACGTATTGTGCCTTGCTTTAACTGTCTAATAATAATAAAAAATAGTTATAAGCATATCGTTAACCATAACGTAACCATCAGATAAAAAATTGTTTTTAATAATGACAAAACGTCAATAATCGCGATAATTTGAGAACTCAACTTTTAACACAGAACACGCGATAACTCAAGAATCACTTTAGATATTGAAAATGTATTTTTTTATTATTTTGAAGTTCGGATCTTAGACAAGATATTTAAAAAAGAAAAATTTGATACGCTTCTTTTTTTTTTCATTCAAAATATTGCATGGCAATTTTCAGCAATCGTGTAACTTATTTGTTTGTAAAGATTTTCACATACTGTCTGCGAAGAAAGTAGCAGAAACATTAAGAATTAAAAAAAAACGATAATTATTTCTAAAGGAGGGTCCACATTTAGTAACATGTTATATAACATTGCTAATTAAGAAGCTACATATAACATGTTAAAAAACCGGGAACCGTCCACATTATAGTTTTCGTAATCATGAATCGTTTTGACGAGAAAGAGGTTCTGCTCGCAGCAGCGGCGTGCGTAATTATTTTTGAAGAAAGAGAAAGAAAGTCGAGAAAAAAGCGGTTTTGAGTCCGCAAGATCTAGCTATAGTTGAACTCAATTAGTTTACCTTTTCAATAACTGCCTCGGCTGTTCTCGTGGTGTGTTTCTGTCTTTTAAAACATTATTAATAACTTAAAAGCAAACCATTTTGAATTATCCACTTCATCTAAACCAGTACCTGATTTGCATTTCTTTTGTTTCCTCTGGGACTGACCTATTAGATAACACCTCGGATAACGCATTTTTTTCTAAACTTTTTCTTTTTCCAAATACATATTTCTTGCAATTTTTAACCATGTATCATGCTTTTTTTTATTTCACTTTAAATGAGGGAGTACAGATATCCCATAACACTGTATGATCTCTATACAACTTAATTAGTTGACAACTATTGGCTCTACTCCATTAATATAAGAACCATACGATCGAAAAAAATGGCGTCAGCGATGGCTATGAAATGAAGATCGCTGCCATTCTATATGGGAAATGCCATCGATCGTCATGTCCAAGCCAACTGGACGAGAGGCCGACTGGACGCAGTTTTTTTCGATCTTACGGTATTATTGACCAGTAAATAAATAAACTAATATCAGTTCACCATACTAAAATTCTGTCGCGTACGTCCCTGAAAATATGAGCGGCTAAACTAGAAATTTGGCAAGTCTGGATGCATTGTTTCATGTTACAATAGCAGTGTTGTACAACATCTTTTGATCTTTACCGACTACAAACGGATAATATCTAGCAAGTTATATAGCAGTGAAATTTGATAAATATGACTAAAAACATGTAACATGTTGTTATATAACATGTTCCCTATATAGCAGTGTTATATAGCAAGTGTGGACCGTCCTTAATAGATTTCGAGATATCGATTTTTGAATTCAGAGTTCTAATAGCGCCGACCCAATGACTAAAGAATCCAAGGACAAATTACACCCGAGAGCAAATTGTGACGCTGTCACCAAACAGTGCCGTGGCACATATTTTTCTTAACCTAGCTGTTTGAAGCAATATTTATATTTTTTGATAATTGTTTTGACTACGCCTATGGTTTATCATCCTAATTAATTACGAAAAAAACGTATTAAAATGTTAACAAAAGGTACAAAACTAGTATCGACGTATAGCACATATCAAGTACATATAGATGTTAATTGAAATTGAAGAATAATTATCAAATTCAATAAGAAAACGCCAAAAAGTTGGAGTGGACTGTTTATTTACTTATGAAAACTCCTGGCTCTATCTTATCGCTGCTGCTTTTACACTTGAAAACTGAACAACTAATCACCATTGCAATAAAGTTTATACAAAGTTTACTACACACAAACTATTAAAAATCGCTAAAATTGTCGCATTGGACCAAATGGTGACTCATTGTTTGCCACCAAAACAAAAAAAGTCACAAATTCTACTGCAGCCCGTTAGGGGCGTTACATATCCTTATATTCTTTAGTCATTGCGCCGACCACTGTCTAGCACCAACTTAATTCCACTTATTTTTATCAAAAGTTGTAAAATTCTGGGCATTACCGCATTACATAGTTGTTCAATTTTTACTTTGCATTTGATAATTTATAAGCTATAAGGAAAACTACAACAATTCGTTACTAAATAAACAAAGTATAATGAGACGTGATTAAATCATGGAATGCATGATGTACACCCTTCCCTAGAATTCTAAATACTGGATTTAAATTTTTCGTTTATGCTTCCACGTCCCTGGGCAATGTGCACAGTTTCTCAGTTTATTTCATACGTTTGGCAACGTTTTTTTTCTCTTCTCTGTTCAGTACATTATAAATGCATTGTACTCTCCTTACGTATGGAAATCCTGACCCAAAGCCAAACCTTGCCGACCATAGTATACCGGCTCAGCGTTCCTAGCTTTGGGTGCCGATTTTCGTTGGTATGAATTTGTGGGCTAGATGTCGTGCACTTGTATTCAGTACATCTTACTCTAATTGTTTGATTAATTCAAGAAAGGGGGACACAATAGATCTTTAAGGTCGCAGTAATTAACCCCCCACTCATTCTACATTGTACTGAGCGTATTGACTGTACTCTTAAGAGTTGCATTAAATTTAGCCCACAAACTTTATAACAGAATTTAATTTTATAAATGTTTGTATTGCACGTCCATAGTATACTGCTTTAAAGTTGAGTATACTAAGGGTCGGCATTTATGGTCTTGGGTGCCGGTTTTCATGTGTATGAAGAGTACGGTCAACACGCTTAGTAAAATAAGATGAACTGAATAAAGATAGAAGGCGAGTATTTTCCCAAGCGCATGGAATCTAGCGTCAGATTAAGGAGTTATGTAATAAATATTTCGTATTTTTGCTCACTCCGACTTACTAGATTGCCTTTGACTCGCTTATATACATGTAAACGCCGACCTAAAGGTTTGCTTGCCAGCGGGGTATATGCATCCGTCGTTCCGTCACTCCAATCATTTAAGTATGAGCTGTCATTTTTGAAATAAAACCAAGAAAATTGCATGAAATCAACGACGGACGACGCATTCCGGATGCATGTAAACCTACACCCCCTTAGACTAAGCCCTGTGCTACGTACTGTCAATTGCTTGTTATTAAGAGGATAGAGGTATTTTAATTAATACAGACAACGCTATTTTATATTTTTATTAATTTAAACAAAAATATACAATATTAACATAATAAAAAACTTAAAAATATATCTATTAGACTTTAACACACCGTTATAATGAACCTAAAAATATATTGAACATTAAACAGTTTTATAACACCTTTAAAAAATAAAAATAAAAATGCGTATTACTTTTTTTTAACAAAACGTTTTAAAATAAGCATAAAAATAATATAATTTTTGCAAAATGTGCATGTATTACATACAGTGAGGTTTATAAATGCACCGTACATATATTTTTTATAAATACATTAATTTTTCTTTTCATAAAACAGAGGCCAATAAGTAAATACTTGCACTTTTTATACATAATTTTTAATTTTAATATATAATTTTTCAACAATTTTAAACTCATTATTAACAAATCTTAGTTATCATATTAATTTTTATTTTTAAAACATTTGTCATATTTTCTTAATTTTTAAAGAGCAAAAATCTGCAAAAGGCGAAGTACATAACCCTTTATCATTCTATTGTATAAACTTACTTTTATAGCAAAAATAATGTTATTACGTACAAGAATATATACTATATTTTCCATTAATAGTTTCAACATTAAAGTAATAATCTATACTACATTTTCTGTATTTTACTTGGCATGTCTTAGAAATTATATTTAAATTAACGCGGTATTCTAAAACTTATCACTATCGTACGCACAGCCACAGTACCAAAACTACTTTGGTTTTTTTATTAAGTAGACGGAAATGTTTATTGTGTATGCCTTTAAAAAACAATACACTCTATCTTAAACGGTTAACAATGAAGATTAGATCTTACTAGGTGACAAATTTAAATTCTAGTTTCGGAAGTATTGGTTCTCCTTATCAAGAAATTTGAATACACCTTGTAGATTTTTGGTTTGAATTACAAAACAATAGTATGTGTAAAATAACAAAACAGAAGTAAAATAAATAAAAAGAGAGCTCTAACAAAAACTATCTGAACCAAAAATAGTCCTGGTTTAATATCATTCATCTTTCGACTACATGAAGGCAAAAGCTCGGTCAAATATTACTTAAAACATTATTCTTAGAGCTTGTCTAATCAATGTATAATGTATATGTAAATGTATATTTTATAAGCTTTATCACAAATTGAACACAATATATTTCGCTTACTAAACGACTTTTTTAACAACGATTTTTTATGGTAAATTATTAAAACATTCTTCCATTCATGGTTACTAATAAAATAAATATGCATTTATTATGACCTGAGGATGTGTCCCCTAACTGATCTTGAACATCGAAATTATTATAAAAAAAATAAAAAATGTAAACTTTTAAATCAAACAATTTGAACGCTTGTTCAAACAAATGATGCAAAGTAAATGATCACGTCATTATATCGCTTACGTAAATGTGCAATCAAGACAATTTACCACAAAAAATCAAAAATGAATATTTAAACGTTTTAAATTAGATTAGAATGCTTCTAAAACTTATTTCACTTAATTCTAACTTGAAACACGGACTAGTACCAAAGTTCTAAGTATATATGACAACATAGATTTCAGCCCTTTCAGTAATTAAAAATATTCTTTTTATTTATAACAGACACTAACCATATGAATATCCCGTATAATTTGTAAACTTTTTTTTCATAAAATTTTCATTCATTTGGCAGTGCAAACCAGCAGAACTAACATTGTTTATCTTAAGAACTTAAGAATATTATAGCAAGTGCTTGCGCTCATATGAAACACATATCTCCTAACCTAACTTCACAAAATTTTTAGAATTTCGAATACTAGAGAGACTAATTTTACAACGATAGCGTTTACTTCTTTTTGAGTAAAATTAATAATTTCTAGACCAAAAAATAGCTAATTTATTAACATTTATAAACCATCAAATTTAACATGTCAAATATTATTTGGAAAACTCTTAAAAACCGAGTTTTGAGTTAGGTTAAGCTATAGGCTCCAAGTGGGGCCACGCACTTAGCATTCGTCCTAAGAATATAATACAGGTTGGACCGAACTGTATTCCGGAAACTTCGGCAGCATATTCTGCACATAAAAATAAGTAAAAAAGTTCGTATAAATGAATGTCCTTAAAAGGGTTCATTTTGGAGATACAGGGTGTAGAAGTTTCATTTTTATGTTTTTTTTTCTAAATAATTTCTGAATTGACGCCAATATTTGGATGAAAATTGGTGTCTGGGAGTTTTTTGCTATGAGAAATTCGATTTTGATATCAATATGACTCCTATTTGTAGGGGGCGCCACCTACATGTGTTTTAACTGTTTTGAATTGCTTTTCGTCCGTGTGTTTTGTAATAGCTTTTCGTCCGTACCAGTACAAGAATACTGAGTGAAAAAATATACATTTTCGTGACTTTTTACGTAAAAAATGTCTCTTGGCAAAAATCGCTACAAGCAACCGTTCTCAAGATATTTAGAATGGAAATAGTCAATACATGTCATTATTGACAAAAAAATAAATACGTTGAGTAGATTTTTTTTTGACTGAAATAAAAAAATTTGAGAATTTTTCATAAATTTTTCTGCGGAAAAATTATGTTACAACCGTTTTTATTAAACTTTTGGGACAAAAACCTTTCAAATTTATGGTTTCAGTCTAATAATTATTTACTCAACATGTTTAATTTATTATGTCAACATGTTTATCTATTATGTCAATGATGACAGGTATTGATAATTTCGATTCCAAATATCTCGGGAACCATTACTCGTAGCGATTTTTACCAAGATACGTTTTTTACGTAAAAAATATCGTAAATGTATATTTTTACTAAGTAGTTTTATACACGGTAAGGATGAAAAGTTATTACTCTTCTAACATATATAAACATCAACCGCATATTATAAACGTATGTAAGTAGCGCCCTCTACAAGTAGGACTTATATTGACATCAAAATCAAATTTATCATGTCAAAAACTCCCAGACACAAATTCTCATCCAAATATTGGCGTTACTTTAGAAATTATTTGGAAAAATCGAAATAAAAATGAAACTTCTACACCTTGTACCTCCGAAACTAAACATTTTAGTACATACATTTATATGAACTTTTTTACTTATTTTTATCTGCAGAATATGCTGCCGAAGTTTCCGGAATACAGTTCGGACCACCCTGTATATCCCATATTTCTTAGAACCCTGAGTTAAGATTACGGCTAATCTTAAGATAAGATCGATATGTTAGAAGCATTAACGTTAGCCTTCTTTAACCATGATTCATATTCATGAGGTTATTAGTCCTAATGTTAGTGGTAGGGCTAAGATCGGAAACATGAACCTACCATAAAATACAGTTGTGTTATGGTTAACACCCCATTACCACCACTGGATTCTACATTAAAAATCCTATTTAAATCCGTTTTCAATAACTTTTAAATGTTATGCTGGATACAGACCAAGGCGACGAAAAGTAAACACGATTTTGAGACAAAAACAATACAAACTTGTGACAAAAAAAATGGGGAATTCTGACAAGACAAACTTGAGACAAATTGTCCACACTACAAGGACAAAAGTACAACAAAGTCAAAAGTTTAGTTTTTGCGAATGAGTTTTATTAACCATGTGTGATTTCACTAGTCTCCTACTGTTGGCAGCACACGACATCCACACTGCGCCGACAACTTGTAAAATATAGGTACGAACAAAACATCGATTTTGATCTCTACCGATTCGAGACGGGACATTGAAAAGTCTCCGAATTTTGAAACAAAACAAAAATGAGAAAAAAATGTCGCAGAAATGTATTGGATTTGTCGCAATTTTATCGTAAAACATAAATGTTTCTGTCTTGTTGTTTTGTCTGCTTGGTCTGGACCCGGCATTAGAGATACATGAGTTACTTCAAATCAAAAATTCGACCAAAAAAGTCACCCCGTCGCGTCGCGTCGCTTATGACATGTAGTTTTTTTTTCAAAAACCTATGACATGTAGTTTTGCATCTTTTGTTTCATAAAATAACCAACCAATAGATCCAATAATCTCCACTCATAAGTGAAAAATCTCATAACATACAACATGAAAATGGGACACCGAATAATGGACTCCTTATTGAAATCTGTTCCTTTATTTTTTCACAGGATATTCTATGGATAATGTAGTAATGCACAGCATGGTGAATTAGAGGTTGGTTTTGGTATTGTTTTTAGAACAACTAACCCTTACTTCTTGCAATAAAGACAATAAATGTTGCTTCAAAGCAATTTACCTTTTAACACCCATAAACCTACAATGAAATATTTTTTTGCATTAAACTATTATGAAGTTTAAACAAACCCACTTTATAAAATATAACCTTAATAAAATAAATAGAATATACATATAGTAAATTAATAGTTTTCGAGACTTACTTCAAATTACAGAAATAAGCTGCTTGCTAGTTGAAAATATTAATATTTTCAGGGATAATTGGCAGATTGTTATAATAGAAATAAACATGATGGCCAAGTAAAATACTGCTATTTACATTTAACATATATGACAAATTTACGATAATAGAATAATCTTATAGTTTGATAAATCTATGGCTACAAACCAGATATTTTTATATTATTTTTCAATTAATTCTGAATAACACCGCCCTCGTTTACTTTAGGCCATTACTTCTTTAAAAGTATTTGTTTCATAAATACAGTAAAAATATTGTAACTGTGTAATGACAGCCAAAAACAATTTGTATTTGTTTCGTAACATCCTGAGACACTAGTCAGTCAAAAAAGGCGGTTTTTTTAGTGTTGTACATTTGATATATTTTGTCGTGGAAAAGAAACAAATAGCACCATATCCATTTGTACTCCAAGCATGAATCCAACACGAAAAATTTGAATATAGAGATTCGGGGTTGCTACGTTGCCACGATTAACGCTCTCTCTATAAGTCGTCAGTTAAGCTGGAGGATAGCGCTGAAGTAACAGTGCTACCGCCCTTGACCTTGTCTAATACTTTGTTGACGTATTCGGTGGTACTTCCTGCTACTTTACCTTCTGCAAAAAATAATATTTGTCATTATAATTTTTAAGCTAGTTAAATAGGTTGTAGAAGTTAAATGCATATTACTAAACTATACTGTTACATTGTATCATATACTATCATTGGTATCCAGGTAAAACCAGTATATTTTTTAATCGTGTAAAATTTTTCGATTTAATATGGAAGATATTGGCTTAAAATAGAGTAAACTAAATAACGTCAACGGTTTATAATAGACGTATCTGCTAAAAAAAACTAAAATTTTCCTGAATAGTTTTATTTAGATATTTTAAATGTTTTTTTTTCTATTCTTTGTGTTTTTTTGCTTCCGGCCACGAGAGGATATACTAAGGGCTGGTTAAGGTTAGTCTTGGGTCGAGATTTCCGCATGTAAGAAGAGTACAATGCGTTTATAATGTACTGAACAAAGAGAGAACAGTAAACACGTTGCCAAACGTATTAAATAAACCGAGAAACTGTGCACATTGCTAAGAGACGTGGAAGGGGATATAGCAGATTTGTCGCAGTCGACCGGTCGACCCCAATCAGTACCTCTGTCAGTACTTCTAGCGAAAGGTGTACATAATGCGTTCAGCTTTACGATTTAATTACGTCTCGTGATACTTTTTGTTTATTTACTAACGAGTCGTTGTAAGTTTCTTTATAGCTTGAAAAATTTTAAGTGCAAGTTAGAAACACTTGCATTCTTGGTAAAAATAAGTGGAATCGAGTTGGTGTTCGACAGTGGTCGCGCTATTAGAACTCTGAATTCAAAAATCGATATCTCGAAATCTATTAGAAATAATTGATTCTAGTTTTTTCAAAAACTTTCTTAACATTTCTGCTTTATTTGCTTCGCAGACAGTATGTGAAAATCTTTATAAATAAAAAAGTTACACTATTGCTGAAAATTGCTATGCACTAAAAGTAAATGGATGGATTTAAATTTTTTTCTTATTTAAACATATTGTAAAAGATCCGATCTTCAAAATAAAAAAAAATTTCAATATCTAAAGTGGTTCTTAAGTTATGGCGTGTTATGTGTTAAAAAATTGAGTTTTTAAATTATCGCGATTACTGACGTTTTCTCGTTATAAAAAAAACACCTTAACGATATCTTTATAATTCAATTTCAGATGCTCAGAAACATATCTAATGAATTTATCTAGCTGTCTTTTCGAAAAAAAGTCTTTTGAAAATTAGCCGTTTGCCGATCGTGATTTTACTTTACTTGAAAGGGGAAATCGTACTGGCAACGCCGCAACAGCACACCGTCGCATTTCTCTCACTCAGACTTAATAAAATTCCTATGCGATTTACTTTCACACATGTAAATACCGACCCAAAAGTAACAGTTGCCAGCATGGTATACCTCCTGAAACCTTAAGCAATTTTTGTTGCTTAGGCAAATTTGTTATATTAGTAAAAACCATTGACAAATTGGTCTCTGTTGGATCAACGCAGTTGTACTTACAAAAAATACTTCTTTATTTTGTGAACTTTCTTCTAGTGGCTCAAACCAGAATTCTTTTCAAGAAATATAGAATATATAGGACATTTTTTCTAGCTATGACAACCGGCGCAATGTTTAAAATATCGATTAGGGACAATAAAGAAACAAAATTGTATTTGGAATTATAGATCTTTTTGGAAGCACTTATTTAATTCTAGCAAAGTAGTATAATTTTTAGTAAAATTGAATTCTAAACAATTTCTTTTTGATTTTTTTCGATTTTTTGTCATTGAAGTCTAGTTCCTGCATATGTACAGAACATTTGTAAATTGCCGCCATAACAGTTGAAAATTACATACCATGCTGGCAACTATTACTTTTGGGTCGGAACTTACATGTGTGGAAGTAAATCGCATAGGGATCTTATTAAGTCGGAGTGAGAGAAATGCGACGGTGGGCTATTGCGGCGTTGCCGGTACGCCTTTCCCTATCAGGTAAAGTAAAATCACGATCGCAAACCGCTTATTTTTAAACGACTTTTTTTTTGAAAATATGTATAACTAAATAAAATCATTAGATATGTTTCTGATCATTTGAAATGGAATTATAAGGATATTGTAATGGTAATCAATTATTTTCAATAGATTTTGAGATATCGATTCATTTTGAATTCAGAGTTCAAATAGCGCGACCAATGTCGAATACCAACTCAGTTGCACTTATTTTTATCAAAAATGCAAGTGTTTCTAACTTGCACTTAAAAATTTTCAAGCTCTGGGGAAAATTACAACGACTCGTTAATAAATAAAGTATCGCGAGACGTAATTAAATCGTGAAGCTGAAAGCATGATCTACATCTTTCCCTAGAACTTTAGGTACTGACAGAGGTACTGATTGGGTCGGTGGACTGCGACAAATCTACTATATCCCCTTCCACGTCTCTTAGCAATGTGTGCAGTTTCTCGGTTTATTTCGTGCGTTTGGCAACATTTTTACTGTTTTCTCTTTGTTCAGTACATTATAAACGCATTTTACTCATCTTACATACGAAAATCTCGACCCAAGACTAACCTTTGCCAGCCCTTAAGGTCGATTTATAGATTGAAAACGTTGCGGTTCGACGCCCGACGTTACGGTAGGTAAAAAGTTCGTTTATACGCAGGATGTTTTGTTGATTATAATTTTTTCGGTTGTTTTTGCGGTTGACGTTTTACGTCAAAAGTTAACCAACTTTTAACTTCGACAGGAACGTTGACCTTGAAACGTTAGTAATAGCCAATAGAAATAATCGCAACCGCAACGTCGAACCGCACCGTTTTCAATCTATAAATCGACCTTTAGTATGTGAAAATACATCGTGTGTACTACAGTATGTGACTCCACATACATAACTATTTTCAATAACTAAGCAACATAAAAAATCTCATTTGTTATAAACTTTTTGCTATACACTGTATAAGAAATAAAAATGTCCATAAAAACCAGATTTTTAAATATGTAGATACTTTTTATACATTGGTAAACCTAATTGCGGGCTGCAATATTGTTACAATAAAACTAACAAATTTTTATGAACACAATTACGGTATCACGCATTATATTAATATTTCAAATAATACAAGTATGTTAAATAATCAGTATTCACTGATCAACTTTCTATTCATTCAAGTCATGAATGGTCTTATATAAATAGTGATAATATATAACTTAATTAGAATTTACTAGAAAGGAATTTGCATAAAATTTCAATAAATTATTTAGGATAATTGAAATAGGCGCAAAAAATACAATAAAATTATGTACCAAACCAAACATATTAAGTACTTACTTGTACAAACTTTGACCATTTTATCCATACTCGTATTCAATTCTGTTTGAGCTTCTGATGATTCCTTCATCTTAACTGATATTAGTTGTTTTAGTTGCTGAATTGTATTTAAATATCGCCCTGAAAAAAAAATATAGAAACATTAAAGAATCTGATGTGATTATGAATCTGATCTGATTGTATTTTTTAAATTTCTTAATGTTACTGCTATATTTTCTTCGCTATGCGCTAAAAGTTGATGGACGTTTTTTATTTTTTTTTGTGTGAAAAAAACGAAGCCTATCGATTTTTTCTCATTTAAACATTTTGAACTTCAAAATAAAAAATAGAAAGTTTCAATATCTAAAGTAGTTCTTGAATTATCGCCTGAGTTATGTATTTTATTGTAACTAACTTGTTTTTAAAAATTTATTTTATTCAAGAAAATTACAATTTAATAATTTGACAATATAAAGTAACTGCGTACTGTACGAAAGTTAATCATAAAGTGAATAGGTATATCTAATATTCAATAACATGAAATGTAATGTCAGCAAATTAATTGTTTGCAATATATAATAGTAAAATAATAACTAGGTCGGTTCATGAACTATGATTGGGACGGACTGCGTCACGTATCTCCTCCCTCCTCAAGTTCGGAAAATAAGGGCTGCAATGGCTGGTCGTTTTTTCGAATCTCCTCTAAGGGGTTGTCCATAGGGGCATTCTTGTATTGGTGGTTGTTTTGGGATGAAACGGGTTTCTTCCATTTTTTCCATCCAATATATAGAAGGACTCCGCATACAAGGGCGGCACTGGTGAAAATTGAAGCTGTCGCAAGGTTCAATGAAGATCCGGGATTGTCCAGAGGCTGTAGCTGGAGTGTTGACAGTATTTTCTGTGCTTTCTTCATCTCGTCTAAGTTTATTTCTTCGAGGGTTAGTTTGGAGATGTTGTTACTATCTTGGGAATAGGAGAATTTTGGCAGTTCTAAAACATATTGAAATTCTGTTTTTGTTTCGATTTCAAAAGTTAAGTTTCCTATCTCAACAGGGCATGAAGATATGCTGACGATGCTTGGTTCAGAGAATTTGTATAGTCCTCGTTGACATTTGTCTCGGGCAATTGTCTCGTTTACAGGAATTACCAAAATTTCGTTACCATATAGGCGTTGAATGGTACTTTTTGTATACTTAACGTTGATCATTGGACACATATTATTTGATGTTTTTAAAAGCTCGAAGAGGCAGTGTTCGTCTTTTGATAAGGCGGTTTGTTTACAGATGAAAAGGTCTTCTAGTTGTGGACATTCTTCTTCTGTGGTCCAGTAATCTTCTTTTGTGAGTAGGATGTAAGGGTTAGATAGAAGGATAGTTTTGTTTACAATAGGTATTGGGAATATTTTGTGAAGGATGTAGTGGGTGGGTAATATAATTGGTGTGTGTATTGAAAAGAGTATTGAATTATTTTTAATAATGACTTGAACAGATAGATAATTATAAAAATTTATTAATTCTTTGAATTCGGGTATTCGGTTTGGACCGTATATTGTTTTTATATTTTCTATTAATGTTAAGAGTTGGTTTGGATTAAGTATAGAGTTGTGCATTTTATTTACATGGGCAAATGAGATTGCATTTTCGATATTATTAATTATTGAATTTAATGTATTTAATTGTAACATTACGTTGTCCAAAATTAAGGAAATATATAAGGCACTAGATAGGTTTAGCTGATTTTTGTCAAGTAAATTAATTTTTTCTAATATAAGTAATTGATTATTGTTGATTTTATCTAAATTTTTAGTATATTCCTGGGTAACTGTGGATAGAATTGATTGTTCTTTATAAAAATTTTTATTTAAAATGTCTTGATTTTTTGTCAGTGTATTGAAATAATTATTGTAGCGGGTTTCGTCGTCTGAGTCTAGAGTGCCAAAGAGCCATTTGTCGACCTGACCTACTACGTTAAGTAGTCCCCTTTTTTGTCGATTAAACTTGTGAAAAATTTTGGTATTTCTCAAAATTGTTTGAAGATATTCAGAGGTTTGATTAAATTTGTAAAACGTAAGAATCGAAAAACTTTCGTTTTGTTTTTTATTTAAAATATCTTTGTCCAATTGAATTAAAATATTTTTTATATTAAATAAGGAATTTTCGATTTCTGTAAGGTTTATGTGAAAATTGGATGTGTGTTTCGTGGCAGATATATAGGTTTTTCCTATGGCCATTGGTAGTATGGGATTGCTAATGCTTTTTACTTCTAAGTTCATAGCGATGGGTAGAAGGAGCAGGAAGGGGATGATCTGCCTCATCTGAAACAATTTTACGTTGCGGTTTTAATTCTTTTTTGTGAAGTTGTCTTTTTTGTGTAGTTATGACATTACTTTTTTCTACAATAGGTTTGTCAATTTTTTTATATTTATCTAATTCTTTAACTTTTGATTTCTGAGGGAAAGTTTTTGCATAAAGTGGTTTATTGGGATCAATGTTTACTACATTCCTATTTTTATTCATTTTATCTAAAGAAGATTGTTGTTGTGAGGTTAATTTTTGATGAAGTTCTTGGCTAATTAATTTTATATTTTCTGCGTGTTCTTGCATGTATTGAGAAAGGGTTTGATCATTTGAGAGTTCTAAAGGGTTTTTATAGTCTAATTTCCCTCTGACAATTTGAAAAGGGGTATACTTTGATGCACTATGCGTAGAATTATTATAAGAAAGTACAGCATAATTCATTAGAATTATTATATTTTCTTTTGGCTTTTGATGCTTAAGGGTAAGAATAATTTCACTTAAGGTAGAATGAAGACGTTCTATTGGACTGTTTGAGTTGGGGTTGTGGGGGGTGCAATAATGGATTTCAATTTTGTGAAGGGAACAAAGGTTTTGGATAATTTCGTTTTTGAACGAGGTGCCATTATCTGTAGTGATTTTCCGTGGGAGTCCATAGTGGTTAAAATACGTAATAAGTTTGTTTGCTACCTCAACTCCTGTGGGTGTCACAAGGGGGTATGCTTGTCCTAGTTTAGAAAAACTGTCGATCACGGTTAGAAAGGAAGTATTATGTGTTTTATAGATATCTATATAAATGTGGTCGAAAGGTTCGTAACCAATAGGGGTGGGCTTAAAAATTATTTTATTGGGGTGCCTTTCGTACTTGGTCTTTTGGCATATTTCGCAAAGATTTACATACGTTTTGACATCGTTTTCTAAATTCGGCCAGTAAAAGTTTTTCTTAAGTGATATAATATTTTCTTGAATACCTCTGTGAGACGTTTTCGTTTCGTGATAGTATTGTACTTTCAGTTGTTGTTCTTCTACGTCTGTTATGTCTTCTAAGAGAGTATTAGATATGTAAAGATTAAAGGAATTATTTTTGAAATATTTTTGAAAAATGCCTAATATAAACGGCTCAAGAGATTTATTTAAAAAGTGCAAGCAGTATGTAGTTTTGGGTATAAAATGTTCTTTAATAATTTTACAGAGATCTTCTTCGGATGGATCGTTTTTTAAAAATATGATAATTCTTTGTTTGTCAAAAATAGATTCTTTTTGGACTTTGATTTTATTATTGTTAGAATATCTGAATATAATTTGATTTTTATAGATATTTAGTGCTTTTTGAACGTATGGAGCACCAATAACAGGGTTTTCAGAGCTTGAGTGTTTAGTTTCTAGGTCGGTAGAGGGTTGGGCTGGTCGTAGTATTATGTCAGAAATTATGTTGATTTTATCATTCTTTGGTTTTTCGGAAATAGTGTTAAGAATTTCGTCCAGTTCTTCTGGCGGTAATTGGGGAATTTCCTCAGGGTCGAAATTAGGAAAAATTGACATTTGATCGTCTTCGATTGGATTAATCTGTATGCGGGATAGGCAATCGGCATTGGAATTTTGTTTCCCTTTTTTGTATATGATTTCGTAGTCATATTCTTGGAGTTTCAATCGCCAACGAATAAGTTTGGAATTCGGCTCCTTAACGGAAAACAACCATTGCAAGGGTTTGTGATCCGTAACGATTTTGAATCGGGTCCCATATAGATAGGGGCGAAAATATTTGGTGGCCCATACTATAGCTAAAAGTTCGCGTTCAATGGTGCTATAGTTTGTTTCTGCTGGATTGAGGGTGCGAGAAGCATACGCAATAGGCAAATCATTGCCAATAGGGCCTTGAGACAAAATTCCACTGATAGCGACGTTTGAAGCGTCCGTGGTCAGAATGAAGGGTTTTGTGAAATCTGGATGTATAAGTACAGGGTCATTCATTAGCAAGGTTTTGCAGCTTTCGAAACTTTGAAGAAATTGGGTGGTGTGTTCTACTTTTTTGTTCTTTTTCAGGCAGTTTGTTAATGGTTTTGTCAAGTGTGCGAAATTTTTTATGAATTTTCTGTAATAGCCGATTAGACCTAAAAATGATTTAATGTCTCGAGATGTTTTTGGTACTGGAAATTTTTGAATGGCGGCTATTTTTTTTGGGTTGGGTTTTACGCCTTCCGGTGTAATGATGTGCCCTAAGAATTCTACAGTTTTACAAAGAAACTCACATTTGTCAAGCTGGATTTTTAGGTGGCTCTCTTTGAGTTTTTGAAAGACGGATTTTAAATTAGAAATATGTTCCTGCAAAGACGTGGAAAAGACGATTATATCGTCCATGTATACCAGACAGATTTTACCTTGAAAATCTTTAAGGACGTTATCCATGAGCCTTTGGAAGTGGCAGGGGCGTTTTTGAGACCAAAGGGCATTCGGAGGAACTCATAGTGTCCGTTTTCGACACTGAAGGCGGTTTTCTCAATGGAATCAGGGTGCATGGCTATTTGATGAAACCCAGAGGCTAAATCCAGAGTGGTAAAATATTGGCTGCGGCCAAGTTTGTCGAGAATATCGGAAATGTTTGGGATGACGTAACGATCTGCTATTGTTTTTTCGTTAATTTTACGATAGTCTAAAACTATCCTCCATTTTTGTTTCATAGAAGCATCGGACTTTTTGGGAACGACCCAGACGGGACTGGACCAAGGGCTTGAAGAGGAACGAATAATACCATTTTCCAACATCTCAGAAATTTGTTTTTGTACCTCTTTTTTATGTATAAAAGGGTACCTGTACGATTTAGTGTACACTGGATTATTGTCTGTGGTT